TGGAAACAGATTTTCCAGAACTGTAACCAAAAAAATCAAAGGACTGAGCCATGTATTTCTCTGGAAAGACCCACCTAAATCTATTCTGCTCTACAGTTGCCATGCTTCCGTCCCTTCACTCTTTAGAATTTGAGGCACAAACAACAGGGCCTTCAGATTTGAGCACAGTTCAAGGTTAGTGTCTCATTTTTGTTGCGTTTATCGTGCATTTCAAGGTCTTTCAATCTTTTACGCTTAGGCAAAGAATTAAACAATACATTTATCATTTGGTGTCCACAAGTGGAAGGTTCCAAGGACCAGCCATCCAACTCCTAAATGCCAACATCCACAGCTACTCAAGGCTCTTATACTCTGCAGTGCAGTATTCAGGTACAATCTACACATACCTATATTTTAACTCAGTTCTATACTGCTACTAATGCTAACTCTGTGACAGAAATTGTGGTAGCACTATCGAGAATAATGACAAGAAAACATTCTGTCAGACACAATTCATTTGGTTTTCAAATATTTCTGATCTATGGTTTGCTGAATCGATAGCTGTGGAATATGTGGGTGCAGAGGGGAAGATTATGACACTAAGAATAGTTTCAAGATCCCAGTCTAGCAATTTAATTCATCATTTCCCATAGCAAGGATTTGTTTGCAAAACCTTTTTTTTTGGCATGTAAAACTTTATAAATTTCCATGTTAAAATAAAATTCCAGCCAGCTCAATCATACAAATCAGAGGAGTCATTAACCTCAAAGAGGCCTCGTGCATCCCTCAGAAGTTGTTTTCTGCGTATTTTAGTGTTTTCAAGTCCTATTTGCGCTTCATCAGCAGCTTTCCGTAATTTTTCTTTCCATGGTCCAGGTTCTTCTGAAAGCTGAAATTGAAACAAAAAATTTCACTCATCATGCACGTTTGTAAACAGATGAATTCACAAGGCTGGTGGTGTCATTAACAGACATCCAAAAAGGCAGTTCTGCTACTTCCAGGAAGGAAGAAGACTCCTATTACGAAGAATTTCCAAACTGGGATAGTTCAAACAAGACTAAAGTATTCTTCAACTGACTTACATATGTTTATCACATAAAAGGCTTACTGAGACAAACACACAAGTACCTCAAAGAGTTCATGGAGAAAAACTAGGGACAATATTTGGTCACTAAAAATGCTTTAAAACCCACGCAAACTTTGGATACTATGAATTTTTCCATAAAACTGTTCATAACACTAAGATCAGGCCTCTACTTAAGGGGCCTGCATCCCATGTGGCTATCAATTCAAGTGCTGGCTGCTCTACTTCGGAGCCAGCTCCCTGCTTATGTCTTGGGAAAGCAGTGCAGGATGGCTATGTTCTTGGGCCGCTACACTCATGTGGGAGACTCAGAAGTAGCTCCAGGCTCCTGGCTGAAGACTGGTCCAGGTCCTGCGGTTGCAGCCATTTGGGTAACAAACCAGAGTGGAAGTTCTCTCTTTCTGTCGCTACGTGTCTCTCTGTAAATCTCCCTTTCAAATAAAAGTAAGTCTTAAGAAAATGGAATTAAAACAAATCATTGGATTTGTTGACTGGGTGCTAGCTAACACATTGCTGAAAACATGAAGTGACATTCAGTCTTAAAGCATTAGTGAACGATCGTATTACAATGTTTTATTCCAGTAACACAATTAAAACCACAGAAAGTAGTTGTAACAAGTGATGTTATATAATTAATTTTTTATATAAATATCTAGTTTTGATTTGATCACAAGCTTAACACAGGCCTGACTTGTTTTTGACACCAAGATGGCAAAAGACTGGTGCTTTGTTATGTTAGAGGCATAAACCCATAAGGTATTATACGAAATGCATCAAAGATGCATAACTCTCTTTGAGAGTTATGGGTAGATAGACAGGAAACAAAATTATTATTAATATTAGAGAAAATGTTGACAGAAGGTAGACAGAAAATGCAATCATATTAAATGATCCAGATAAAGCATTTAGAGTCATAGTAATGCAATTACTGCAAAGTTTCTTGCTGAATAACTATAAATTGATTGGGGGAAAAAAGGAAACAGAACACATGAGAATCAGTGTGTCTTGCCTATATAAACAGGGAGAAAAAGGATACATGTTCAGTCCTCATTTGAACTACCTCCAGGATCCATTTTGCCTCGAAGCCCCGGATAAGCAACAGGTGCTAAACGCTATTTGCTGTGATTGCCTAAGTGTCAAACACCCTGGTTTACTTTCACTCCGAGGAAAGAGAACCAGAAGAATATACACTTGTGCATCCCTATCCAAAACACACAGTTACAAGAGTGCAATGGAAGTACCCTACCGTGATATTAAGTAGACAAACAAAAAACAAAAACCACCCTGCTCTTAACATGTGGTTGGTCACAAGGATGCCCAAAGCTCTTCTCATTACATACTTGAAAGCAAGATTCACTTAGAGTACAAACCTGCAGCAGTTCTTGGTGAAGCTGCACATTTTCATTGAAAACCTTCTCTAGTTCTGCCTTAATTGCCTCATGAATAATTTGAAACGGTCTGGTCGTTGTTGTAGCCTAAGTAGAAAAAAAAAACATTAGGTCAATAACAACATAATACAATGGCTTATCTTCATGGACTCCCTGGAATCTTTATGTGGATAACGGCCAAAGCATTCCAACACATAGCAACATGGCAGTGTACCTACCAACACGGCAGCAAAATGCCAGCAGAGGTATCCCAGAATAGCAGGAAAACAGAGCACAGAATCAAGTACAGCTCTGCCACTAATCTGCCATGTGACCTTACACAAATGACAGCCTGTTATCAATGGCCACGTATTGCATAGCAGATTTTACCAACTACGTATTCTGTATATCCGCCACTGAAAGTCAAACTCCATGAGGGTTTTTTTTCTGTCTTAATATGTTAAATAGCAATCACCTTCAACAAGCTTAGTAGAGCAACAGCTTTTCAAATATTTGTATACTATTATAAACTTTTCTGAAATGCCTTATGGGTGCGTGCATATATATATATATATATATGGAAATTGAAGATCTAACTCTGAAACCCTAACATTATATAGTATTCCTGAAAAATAAAAACAAGAACTAAATTTAAATTATTTCAAAAATAACAGAGCTACAAGTGTTAGACAAATTCAACTTACGTCAGCAATTTGTGAGTTGAGGGACTTTCTTCCATCTTTTAGGGCCTGTAACGCTGGTAAAATCTTTGCCACCTGCAAAGAAAGTATCAGTCAAGAGACAAGTATTTACTAAGCCCTTGCAGTTTCCAAAACGCAGTATCTCAACTTTGACACTTCCCAACACTTAACTTACCCAGGGCTCATCACTCCATGCACAGCAGATCTGACTAACTAAACTCACATCATGATTCCCCTTGCTTGTCCTGACCAAACATTTTAAGTAATAAAAACTATCCAGTGTGTATGTGATCATTCAACTTTGTAAAATTATTCATGTAAGCTACATTGGCATTGTTTAGAAAGTTCTGTATGAAAACATGGGGGGAAAAGCCCACTTTATATATGGAATCTAAGAAAGGAAAATGGTGGAGGTGGAAAATGTTGCTCTTTCTTTTATGGCCTCTGTATTCCTTACCTTTTCGTACAGTACATGATATACTTTAGTCAATACCATTACTTTTTGAAATCCCATAAGCATTCTTTTTGTAGCATTTTCCTTAAATACAAAACAAAAAGCCTTACCAATTCAGGTCGATCACATTTTTCCAATTCTTGTTCAAATTGTTTTTCAACGGAAAGAACTTTATCGTCCAGCTTAGATTTGCAAATCTTCAGCTGTTCATTGGTTGCCTAAGAAAAAAGCCAACTTGGTAAGACAGATGTGGGAGCTTTCAGTTAGGGGAAGTCAGGTGACTTCAACCAAACATATGTAGTATTAGCTAAATCTGTTCATAGATTCTGATGATTTTCAGAACAGTAAGATCTTAGCAATTCTAGTGGGTGCCAACAATCTTCTTCATAGGCAAAGTATAAACATTTAGGGTGAAATAACCTAATTGAGTATATTAAATAGTGTCATCAAATCAGAGTTAAACACAAATCAAGATTTGATATTTGATATGAATTACAATAATTGTGCAATTAAAAAAAGTTAAGTGATTAATTATTCCAACTGAATTTTAACCACTATACTAAATGTCTCTGCTATTCACGACCCTTCAACGAAGTTGTGTAAAATTGAAAACCAAAATCAAAGAATGTAAACAGGCAAAAATAAAAGGAGAAAAGCTCTATGTTTTGCTGCTGAAAAAAAAACTTGTTTTTCCTATGTCTCTAAATTTAGCTGTTGTTGCAGCAATTCTCTGACCTGAGTTAGAGTTACTCTACTGGTTTATTTGTATCTATAGATTCTACTGCTAAATTTCTTAACATTCTACCACGTACTTTGCGTTCAATTATTACTACTATTCCAGAAAATAAAGACTGTGACTTTTCATTCTGCTATGTTACACAACTGCATCGTCTTCACAACAAGCTGGTATATTTCATTATTTCATTTTGTCTACACATACAACCCAGCTTGAATAAATGTGCTTGCTATTGAGTTTTTTCTGTTCTGTTAGCATGCCAAATGCTTTCTAAAATTCTCCCAATTGATCAAAACTCTAATCAATTACTACTGGGGCAATAACTTTAAGTGGTAAGCAAATACATATGGTTATTTTTGATAGTAGCTAACACAAGAAGAAAGGATTAATACATGTACCATATTTGTGACCCAATTTATACCATCACCATCTTGCATCTGTGCTCTCTGGTTTTGACTTTTCAATCTTTAAGCAGCAGTGAGATTCTCCAGTCACTTAGCTGAATACATCTTAATTTAGCTAAAATCGAATGGATTTTCCTTATAAGGAGTTGAATCACACCAGGCTCAGGAAAGCTGGATCATGAGAATACTCCTCATTCAGTAACCTCAGGTTGGTAACTTGAGACTGGCCAGGTTGGGAACCTTTTTTTCTTTCTTTCTTTTTTTCCCCAGAACTCAGCAAGTGATTTTTGGAGAGCCAGTTTCGAAACACTTAGCAGCACATCAATATTTATAATGTAACTTCTGATCCAATTCTGAATAATTCCTAATATTCTTGAGGATTACATCTAGGCCAATACCATGACACAATTTCGATAATTCATTGTTGCCAACTAGTCCTAAATTTGTTTGAATGAATCCTTTGTCTCTCTGTGTAGTAAACTGAGTCCAAAAAAGGAAAGGTCACTTCACAGATTTTCCAAGAAGGAAGAACAAAGAGCTTCTACAGAGCTCTCCTACGAGCTGAATAGGCGTCACTCAAAACATGTACTACCAACGGTCTATTTCCAATATTTAACCATTTGTAAGTTATAAAAACTACCATATTTTTTCATATTTCTTTGAAACGGAGTTTGCTGACAACATAGTATCTTTAAAGTCTATGTTAGTCAGCAACACTCCTCGCCCCAGCTTTCAAAATGAAGTCATTTGTTCTCTTTAACTTCAAAGTTTGCCCTTCTTCCGACTCCTCAAAGCTGGCATCTTGCAAAGATCGCTCTAAGCTTTCATACTGAAACAAACCAACACCGTGAGCACAAACTATAAATCATTCAAATAAAGATTTTTTTCATTTGTTTGGAAGGCAGGGCTTCACATAGAGAGAAAATGAAAACATCAATTTGTAGCAGAATTTGAAACATCAAATCAGAAGAGAATTGAAACACATATATTGAGGGAAGGACTCCTTTATAAAATATAGAAAAAAAACACTTAGCAAAAAGAAAAATACAAATATACTTTCTTAAATGTGAAAAGGTAAGTCCATAAAACAGAAAATCAAATGAGCTAAAAAATGTAAGAAACTCATTAGGACAACATGGAGTAAATCCACAATGGGACCACATCACTTCTAACAAAATGGCTAAAATTAGTAAGATTTGTTAAGCATTGAAGTGAGGAACAGCATAATGCCCATACACTCCAAATCAACTGTTTACACAAAACTATCTACATATAAATACTATTTCCTGACTCTAATTATTTTTGTTTTCAAAACTCTTACCTCTTTTTCTAGAAAGTTAGGTTTGTCAAGTAGATCACAATTTTCTTTTATTAGTCCAGAGTGTTCTACAGCAAGCTTTTTCTTTTTTACTAAAAAAAAAAAAAAAGATAAAATGTAATTTTTTAATTTTATGCAGAAAACTGATGAGACCTAAAATAGTAAAAAGACTGCTTACCTACATAAAGCCTGCTTGCAATCTGAAACAAATTTTTAACAAAAAAATATGTTAAGGCAAATATATATATAGTTACTAAGCATATGTAAATTTAATTTTACCTCTGCCAATTAAATATTACAAGTGATTTCCGCAAGACAAATGCTCTAATGAGAAAAACTACACATTAATGTCCTCTTATCAAAAATTTAAAGTATATATTATGTCAACAGCTCTGAAATGGTTTTTGGTAAAGATTCCTGTTTCATTTCACTCCGCCTATTGTTCCCTAAACATATTTGGCCCTAAGACAAATGTTTTCAGGCAATTCTATTATCATAGCTCCTAATGCTAATACTCAAACCTGAGAAATATTATCAATTGGACACATGTCTCAACTACTCTAAAGAAAACAGTAAAGCAAATCTTCTTCTTCTTTGATCTTTCTCTTTAACAAATAATAAAGCAAGGGAAAAATCCAGTTTAAGAGCTTAGTGAGGGCTGAAAGGTAAGATAAAAGGAAACGGAATTCATCTAGAGAATAAGGATACAGATAAAATTAAACAAGAAAAAGCAGGCTACGATACAATCCTACAAATGTAAACAAATATAAAGTAAACTAGTAAGTCAGAACATTATTTGGGGAAGCTCCTCAAGCTTAAAGGAAAACCAGGTGGCCAAAAGGATGGCCCAACTGTCTAATCCTTTGCCTGCTAGAACTCAGCATCCCACACAGATGTTAGTTCTTGCCCTGGTTGCTCGACTTCCCACCCAGACCCAGCTCCATCCTTATGGCCTGGATGCTCGATTCAAACTTGATCCAAACTTGATAAACAACAACAACAACAAAAACAAAAAACAAAAAAAGCACTGAATGATGGTCCAAAGTCTTGGGACCTTGCACCCATGTGGGACGCACAATAAACTCTTGGATCCTGGCTTCTGATCAGCTCAGTCCCTGCCAGCATCACCTATGGTGGTGACATTATTGAGAGTGAACCAGCAGATGCAAAATCTTCCTCTCCCTCTTCTTGTTTCTGCAAATCTATTTTTTCCAATAAAAAATAAATCTTCAAAAAAAGTAAAAACTGAAAAAATAAAAGGAGAGCCAATATCTGAACAATAGTACTTCAAAAAGAGAAACTGACTTTTAAATGGAGAGATTTCTCCAAATTGACATAAAGACAATCCTGAGTCTAGAGAAGTCGAAAAGACAAAGGAATTTTATGGCTAGACACATGATACTGAAATCAGAACATCAAATGCAAAGACGCTCAAAGGGCCGCCACAGTGCCACAGTATGTTACGCTATCACCTGTGATAGCAGCATCTCCTATGGATGCTGGTTGCTCTATTTCAGATTCAGCTGTCTGTGAATGCATCTAGGAAAGCAGTGGGAAGTGGCCCATGTTCTTGGGCCCATGCCACACACCTGGGAGAACGGATGAAACTCCTGCCTCCTGTCATCTTTGGCCTGGCTCAGCTTCACTGGTTGCAGCCAAAATTTGGGGACTGAGCCAGCAACTGAAAAATACCTCCCCTCCCTCTGTCTTCATCCACCCTCCAACTATGCCTTTCAAAGAAATTAATTAATTAATCCTGCTTTCCCCACACCTTTTAAAATTCCTCGCGGTCCTGTTTATGTAAATGCTGAAGAAGTCACAGACACATCCAGGGATAGATGTGCAGAGTGAGGAAAGGGGGAGACAGAAGTTTGTATTTTCATCTATGTCCATCAGGACAGTGAGTGCACCCCTTCCTGTTGCATGGCTTCTTGTGACCCAGAGAAGGAGAGTGGTTACATGCCAACGCCCTCAGCTCCAAGTGAAAGGCGACTGGCTGGGAGAAAGGATCAGCTACTCCAGCTCCAGTCCAAGTCCTTATTATTGACATGGGAAGCAGCTAATGGTTGCTCAAGAACTTCCAAGGACATTCTTTCAAAATTTTATACTTAAAAACTTGCTCTATACCCCTTCTGTTTTATCTTAGACATATATGTGATTTTGCTTTCTCAAAAAATACAAATTTCTTACATTAGTTGTTCAACTTAAAGACAGAACGAACATTTTTGAATACAGCATTGTTTACTTACAAATTGAAAAATTCTCCATATAAAAATGCAAATGAGAACAAAAGTAATGGCTGGACGTATATCGCAACCCCATAGAAATCCATGGGGATGATCTCTTTGTCCAGCATCCTCAGGTACTGTAGGAACAACCTTCAAGACAAAGAAAACTCAGTTCTTAAAAATGCAATTGAGGCAGTAAACAGAGATCCAAATCTATATAGCCAACTCCATTATTTTCCTTTCAGGAAACGGGCTGTAGAATCATAACAAATAGAAGGCACCACAGGAAATCCTTCTGGAAACTTCTACCTACTATCACTCAGTGAAAAAGAAGCACGATAGAGAGAAAAGCAGGAATTTCTCAAACTGGATTCAAATACAAGCGCCCCCACACCTTCCAAATGATGGGACAGGAACAGAGAAGGCCACAGAAAGAAGCTGAGTAATGTAAGTTCAGCTACTTTCCTTTTTTTAACACCAAATTGGGTTTTATATATATATAAAGTATATTATATTCTCCGTGAAAAGATTTCCCTACTGGAAAGGAAAAAAAAAAGTTATCTGAAGCTTTCAAATGAACTTTGAGGTGTGGTTCTTTTGTTTAATGATTAAGATTACATTCCACAGAATTGCCTTGCTCAATTCCCAGTCCCAGCTCCTGACTCCAGCTTGCTGCTCATGCAGAATCGAGGAAGCAGCAATGGCTCCAGTAACGGAGGTCCTGCCCCCACAAGGGAAAGCCAAGTTGTATGCGTGACTCCCTGACTCAATCTTCACAACTCTCAAACAAATATTTCAATTAAAAAGTCTAAAAGTCACTGACAGTACTTTGGGTTTAGAGTTCTTGTTTAAAAAGAGTCATTTTGTTGACTTGGGAGGTAGAGTGAAAGAGAAAGAGTCAGAGACTTCTCTCCACTTCCCCAAATGGCAAAAACTGGCAGCTAGGTCTGGTCGAAGACAGGTGCCTAGGACCAGATCTAGGTCTCCCACATGGGATGCAGGAGTCCAAGCCAGCTTGGACATGGCCAGCTTCTGTTGCTCTCCTAGGTGCATCAGAGGAAGTGGATCAGAAGTGGTGCAGCCAGTATTGCAGTGTGGGAGGGCAATGTCATGGGAGGTAACTTTATCAGCGATGTCACAATTCTGCCCATGCGTTTAGATTCTGAAGCCCTGCACTCCAACTCTATGGGTTTCTCCTGTTATCTAGGAGGGAATGATCTATTTTCACACCCGGGAAATTGAAAGGGAAGCTCTATTTTTGGCCCTTCATGGTTGTGATGCCATAACTGTGACCTTGGAAATCACTTCTTCTCTCCCATTGGTCTTGAGCAAAATACAGCTCAAGACTTTCAACCTGGTTCTGTAGTTCAACTCTCTCTGGATCAAGCCCCAGATGCCACTTTACGAAAAATAAAGCACACAGGCAGGGAAAAGAAGAAGATGACAAATGCACTTTAAAGAGCAATCTGAACTACAGGCTTAGTTCTTTCTGGGCTTCAATCCAAAATCTCTATAGCAAATTTTCCTTTGGTAGACAGTAGACCTTTCTGCCTAAGGGGGGGAAAAACTTACCAAGTATTCTCCCCTCCAAGATCTTTTTTATAACTCTAATCCTCGCAGCCAGGCTGCTCTCTATATATTTATTTAATATATACCAAGTAAATAAGCCTGATAAGTTTTTTGAGAGGCAGAAAAAGAATTAGTCCTCTCGTTGGGATGCCTAGATTGCCAGAGCCAGAAAGCTGGCAGTTTTACTCCAGATTCCTTCTTTCTCTCATCCTTCATATCTAATAATGAAGTAATACTCATTTTAACTTTTAGTGCCTAACTATGTGCCTACTCACTATTTCCTCCTCTAGCCCTACCACTCTGTTATCATTCACTTCAGTTCTATCTTGAGTTTTGCTTCTCTGACATCTAACCTACATCCTTACCTAGGCTCAGGAAGGCCCAAGTCTAACTCCCGGAAAGGCTTCAACCAGCTCCCCAACACCTACAGCACTTGGACTCTATGTCCCTAGCAAGCACGCCAACACATCAGTTCCTGAGCCCACTCTCCACTAACACAGCTGCTTTTCTCTTCATGCACCACTGTGCTTCATGCCTCCACTGCTTAAACCAGCTCCTCAGCCTAAAGACTTCCCTCATCCAAGAAAATACCATCTCTTCCAACCTTCAATTTCCCTAGCAGGTTGTGTGTATGCTTCAGTAAGCATTTGATTCTTTATACTAGTGTTTTATACTCATTTTTGTCTTCTCTCCCCCTGCACAGCTTGATGCTGGTGCTCAGACAACAAACACACACACACACCTACAGTACAATAAATGAATAAACAGAATAATTACAACTGCCTCAATGTTTAAATGGTCTTCTAAAACAATAAGAGTGTGTAATAAAACATGGCAAGAGAAATACCACTTAACATGCCAACAACTACTACCATGAATACTGAAGCAGGAAAAATCTATTACCTAATAATAAACTGAAGCTAACAAACAAACAAACAAACAAACCTCTGGGAATTCATAATCGCTATCCTTTAACAATATCATCTCTGTTAACAAGACAAAGATAAAAGAGGGTAAACAATCTCACTTAAAAGCATCTCTCAGGGGCACTCTTTATTGGAAGATGATGAATTATAATCCCAAACTCTGAAGCTAGCTCAGCTGTCCTTTCAAGACAAGAGATTTCATCACTACATGGATTTAGGGATTTCTGCCCTTAACTTTGTCAGAGTTGGAAGGACCATGTGTCACTGACCCCCGCTCAAACTTTAAAACAAAAAGGCTACTTCATTTGGAACTCAAGAACCATTCCCATACTTTGTGTTGTCCAGTAGACCAAGTTCCTGATACCCAGGTCCTGCTCTACCACAGGAGCAAACCACACAATACACCTGGCCACAGTGAGGGCTGGCCTCAGACCCTGAGACCACACTGGCTCAGATTACATAACCCTGAGGGCACCCAGACTCACTTCATGTAGCTCATCCTGGAACCACCCCACATATAAATGTGGGGTGGCCCCGGGGGGCTCCATCCACGGAGAAGAGGGTTAAATATCCACTACCACCATCCACAGCCTCCGTGGAAAGAATACTGGCTTTGTTTACAATCCACTCCTGGCAACTGGAGCGTACCACTGCAGAGCCAGCTATGGGGGACCAGGGAGAGCCAGGGAACATGGATCCCACAGGCCTGTGGTGCCACAACACACAACTGCTAGGGCATCATGATGGCCCCTTTGGTACACTTTCTATCCCAGCATAATACAGGTCTGAACCCATCCCACCAGAGCCTGTGACACACCCTCTCGCCACCAGCTCACCCCTCCTCATAAATGGAATAGTCCAACTGCCACTGGGAGTCACCCTCCATCTTGGTGGAAGGCTCTCTGAAATGGGCAGGTGCTATACCTGGGGAGGCCCCACACACCCAGAAAATAAAAGTGTTTGGGCCTGGAGAATGGAACGGGGCCTCAGGCCCTGTGCTGTAGTTTGGGCTATACAGCCAGGAAGGTTGGGGCTGTGGCGCAGACACTCAGGACTTGGGAAGCTGTGGTGCTCACTGCCAAGCTCTTCCCAAGGTCCTCGTGGTGCAGTTCCATGAGGTGACTGCAGTGTGCCCCCTTGACCCGGCAGCTAGCCAGCCCAGGCCTGAGCCTCAGCAGCTGATCCACGGTAACGGAGGCAAATCATGAGGATAGCCCGTCAGTGTCCAAGTGCCATTAGGCAGCTAGCTGGTCTATCATGACACTCAAAGGGTGGGAGGAATCTGGGAGCTCCATTCCACATGTGCCCACCTGGGAAAAAGGCTGGAAGGGACCACCCACTAACAGGCATCCTCTTGCCTTCTGAGGATATGGC